CCCCCTCCTCCAGATCCATCGAACGCTGCCGCCGCCGTCGCTTCATCGTGGTCATGGCCAACGCCCTCACCGGGCCTCGTCGAGCCGTCCTACGGCCTCCCCGGCGTCGCCCTCGTCCTGCACAAGCCCGAGGCCGGCCGGTGAAGCTGCGCAGCAACACCTACGCCGTAATCCCTGGCGCCAACCTCCGTCGCTGCAGCTACTAACCTCCCGCCAGCCATCGTGTGCCCCACGGTGAGGCTCCCGTCCCCGTTTCCTCTCTAGGTCGCCCGCCACCGCCCGTGCCGATGACCGTAGCCGCTGGCTCCGCTCGCCACGTCCCGTACACGGCGCGGTCCCTTCCCGCGCTCGCAGCCGCTCATGCCGCCTCCAACCACCACGCCGGATGCACCCTCCCCCTTTCTCTCTTACCGTCTCTAGCTGTTGAGCCGCCCTAGTACGACCTCCAGCAGTCGCGGCCCTCGTCGCCGGCGCACTACCGCCCCTCCCGGGCCAAACCGAGGCCGTGATTCGACACGCCACATCGTGGGCATTCGAACGGGCCCAGCCGCATGCCCCCCCCCCAAGCCTTGTACGCGATTCCAACGAGGTTCCGGCCGTCGCCGCCGTCCTGGGTGGTCGCCAGAGGCCAGCCACGCGCGCCGGCACCTGGAGGCACCCCGTGGGCCACTGACAAGTGGACCCGCGGGGGTTAGTTACTAATCACCCACCGACCCCGAGGCCCCACCTACTAACTAAAACAACTAACCCCCAGGCCACTGACATGTGGGCCCAGGGTTATTAAATCCTAACGGACACTGACAATGCGGCCCACCCCCTTAATACTAATTCCATAGGTTTTACTAAGTTAATTTAATTAGTTAAATAGTTAGAGACTGACAGGTGCGTCATTTAGTCTAATTAACTAATTTAGGTTTAAATTAACTCTGTTTAAACCCACTATCTATGACAGGTGGGTCCCTCATGTCAGTTTGACCAGTCAGCTGACTGGTTAACTGCTGATGTCACCCTAACCTCATGCTGACGCATTAATTTGTTTTCTGAATTAATTTAATTATTAATAAATTCAGAAAATAATTAAAACTTTGAAAAAATCATATAAAATAAACTGTAACTCGGATTAAAATAATTTATATATGAAAGTTGCTTAGAAAAACGTGACAATTCTGAATACGCACTCCGTTCGTCTGTCACATGCCCCTAGCATAGCGAACATGAAACCGTCCCCTCTCTTTCATCTGACCAAAAAATGCCTAACACTGGAATGTTTTCCCCCTCCGTCCGCATCGTATAGTACCGCGTTAGAACACCCCTAGCACTGCCTGTTGTCATGTTTTACAACTGGGTTACACCTATGTGCTTTCTATTTACTGTTTCTTCCCCCTCCTCTTCGGTAGACCCCAAGACCGCTGCTGATGCTCTTGTGATCGATTACGTCATCGACGACCCTTCTTCCTTTCCAGCAGAGCTTCTAGGCAAGCAAACCCCCCTTGATCATTCCAATATCGCCCATTCCATTCTCTCTCATGCTTGCATTAGATTTTGCTACTATACTTGATTGCTCCTATTTTGATGCATAGCCTGCTTTCATAACTGCTCATTGTACCTTACCTGCTTATCCTAAACTGCTTAGTATAGGTTGGTTAGTGATCCATCAGTGACCCTCATCTTGTCCCAGTTGCCCCTGCTTCATCACCGATGACTCGATCAACGTGATCGACGACCAGAGCCCGACACATCACCTCACCCCCTTAGTTGTACGACTCTGCAGAGCTACTATCGAGTGCCGAGGGTGATACCTCGTAACGTACTCCTGATGATAACTCTGTAACGTAGCTAATCGGTCATGGTCTATCGAGGGTGATTCCTCCTTCACCACTCCTGATGACGTCTCTGTCGTGCAACCCCTCAAGTGTGAACCATCAAGGGTGATTCCTCCTAGTTCACCTTGACGGTTACATCAAGAAGGAATCCATCAAGCGTGATTCCTCGGATTTCCCCCTTGATGACACGGACACACAGTTACCTTTACCTGTAGCCCCCGTGTATTGTTACTGCGGGACTGAAGGGATAGGCGGTACCAGCCCGGTAGAGGTGGACCTGAGTTCCCGACAGTCTCTGGTTTGTCAGCTTGACCTGGAGGGTTCCCGACAGTCTCTGGTTTGTCAGGTCGACCTGGAGGGTACCCGCCAGATAATTACGAGGCACGGCCGGGCAGGTAGACCGCCCTAGAGAGAGAGGGTTGGGCCTGGCCCTTGTCGTATTTCCTCGAGACGGGGCGACGGGGTCACATGATCGTGAGTCTCTACTCGTCTCCGCGAGCTCCCAACACACTAAGGATTTGGGTATTTGATCTGAGTTGGCCACTGGCCTATACGCACTAACCACCACACAGGAACAGATATGGGCACTCGGCGTCGTACGTTTCTTCCGAAAGCTCTGTCAGACGTCCAGTTCAGCATTGCGGCACGGCTGGGGCGGCGCCATCCAGGCAAAGGTGGTGCCTGGACCCGCCCTGCGCGCAACGACCCGAAGTGCAAAGGGCGATGGGGCCAAGACCCCGGAGCGCTTAGGATACAAACCGGCGGGGACCTCTATGGAGGCTAGGTAGGACTACGACGTGTTGATCTTCCGAGGCCGGGCATGACCCAAGAAAGTGTGTCCGACCAGAGTAATCAAGCATGTTGGGTAATGTGGTGCACCCCTGCATGGAAGTCATCTATTTGAATAGTCGTGTCCACGGTAACAGACGCTCAGAGTTGTATCCCGATCTATTACAACTAGAAATGGATACTTCAGACATGTGATGGATATGTTGGCTCCGGGATTGCTTTCTCGCAGGGAGTCGAGGAAGGATATCTGGACGTTAAAACTACAACATGCTTGTTAATTATAATATGCTATTTTGTACTCTTCTAAATGCTGCAAGATGCTTGAAGATGCTAGTCTTCGATAGGCTAGGCCTTCCCCTCTATTCTGGCATTCTGCAGTATAGTCCACAGATACATCCGTTCCTTTGATATCAATGCATACTTAGTATAGATCTGATGCTTGCGAGTACTTTGGTTGAGTACTCACGATTGCTTTGCTTCCCTTTTTCCCCCTTCATTCTCCTTTCCGGATGTTGCGATCAGATGATGGAGCCCAGGAGCCAGATGCCACCACCGACGACTATTACTACCCTGAGAGTGCCTACTACGTGGAGACCGCCGACGACCAGGAATAGTTAGGAGGTCCCAAGCAGGAGGCCTTGCCTTTTCGATCGTTGTTGCTTTTGTGCTGGCCTTCTTAAGGCAGTCTTGTTTAACTTGTGTCTGTTCTTAGATATTGTTGCTTCCGCTGACTTGTGTTCGAGCTTCTGTATTCGAGCCCTCGAGGCCCCTGGCTTGTAATATGAAGCTTGTATTATTTTAATTTGTGTCTAGAGTTGTGTTGGGATATCTTCCCGTGAGTCCCACCATATGATCGTACACATTTGCGTGTATGATTAGTGTACGGTCGAAGCGGGGGCGTCACAGCCAAGTATGATGGAAAATAATGGAGAGGATGGCAGGATGTAGATGCATCCACCATATGTGAGAAGGCTATAGGTGCAGCCCCAAGGAGGCCCGAGGTCCCCCGCAACATGCTGCTGTTGCAACTACACCAGTGTTGGGTCTATGGCCTTAGAAGCACGCAAGGTATCAAAAAGCGTGAAGGACGGGCTGGACAATGCCATCAGCAGTCCCTGTCTTCCTCCCGAGAGTCCCGACGAAACAAGGCATCAGCCACAATGTTTAGCTTGCCCAGGAGGAACTCAATGGAAAAATCATAATCAGAAAGCTTGCTGACCCAGTGGTGTTGAGGGATAGTGGACAAGCGTTGAAACTGTAGTGGTCTGTCCGCACACAGAAAGCACAACCCCATAATATGATCTTCAATGTCAAATGGCGTGCATGAGGCCAATGAGCCCACACTCGTAGGTAGCCAGTCTGGCATGGCACTGGGCAATGGGGCGGACGAAGAAAGCTATAGCACCGTCACCTTGGTGTGCCCTAATGTTGCGTGGGGAATTCATTATGAAAGGCGCAAGGCAGCAGGGGCAGGTTAGGCTGTGGCTAGACAAGGGCAGTTCGATGTCCTAAAAGGATGCATCTGTTTTGGTAGTCTCCAGATTCTATTAAGGTAGTATTTGAGTCTGATTCCTATGAGTCTGAAGAATGTCGAAGTAATACTAGTCCATGTCCTATATAAAGGACCTACCCGTGTAAGCTTAGAGGCAAGCAATAATCAACAAGGTCTAGTTTCCCTAATCTATGTTCTCTATCTCTAATCCCTGCTACCTTCTGCTACTGCGGCGGCACCGTCGACAACCCGTCGGCCCCCATGCACCTCCAGGCCACAGAATAACCCTCAGATCCAAAGGTTGTTCCAATTTGGTATCAGATTCCATTTCTGGCCCTGGGGACAACACCGAGCATGAGATCGTGCTTCCTGGCGCCAAAACATGGGCGCCGCATCAAGAGCAACTCGAATGGCGGCCTACGAGACTCGTCCACCAGCTAGTGTTCCGCTGGCTACCAGCGTTGGCATCATGGGTCCTCTATCTACCTCTGTTGCCGAATCAATCGCATCCTCTCATGTAGCATCAGCTGTCTCCGGTAGCACCTCACTTTCAGCCACCGCCGCCACCAATCCGCCATCGCTAGTGCCTACCATGTCCCCTTTGCAACCACCCTACTCGCCATACTACTTTCCACCCCACCAGTACCCCCTGTCCTACCCAATCCAGCACAACAAACCAATTATTTCTATCCCTCCAGACCCAGCAAAACAACAGCTTCCAAACTACCCGCCTCCACCATATAGCTCTGCCCACTTCCACCCATCACCATTCGTCCCAAACCTTGCTTTATCTTTGCCACTAGAGCAAATATCTCATAATAGTCAATGTTGTAGGTCTGGTTGTACCCCCTCGCCACAAGCCTTGCTTTGTACCTTTCAATCTTTCCTTTTGCATTTTGCTTCTTAGTGTATACCCACTTGCAGCTGGCTGCCTTATTTCCTATTACAAGGTGGTAGTACCCATGTCTTGTTCTTACATAGATCCTCTAGCTACACCATGGCCATGCGCCATTTTGAGCCCTCCTTTGCCTTCTTCAAGTCAGTCGGAATTGACACAGACCGAAGAGAAGAACCAAATGCTTTGTAGGCTAGAAATAATGCTTCATAGGTAACATAATTTCCAATGTCGTTGGGGTATTCTTGTTGTTGCTCGAGTAGTTTTCCTCAAAGCAATTGGCTTATCAATTGACCCTTCAGTAGCAACTGACCCTTATCCCCATCAGAGGAGATGGACATCGCATCAGTACTACCTTGTTGCTCCATCAATGACTGGCCTAGTTGCTCACTCTGATAGCAATACCATCATCTCGCTTCTGTGAATACACCTTTAGCTGTTCCTCTTGCTCTGCTATCCACCTCGGCACACTACCAATTTGAGTAGTTGTAACACCATCACCTCGCTTCCGTGTACACCTTTAGCTACTCCTATTGCTCTGTCATCCACCTCAGTACACAACCGACCCAGATGGGAGCACCGCCTATATTTAGCTACTCATCTTGCTCTACCGTTCATTTCGGTACACAACCGATCCATGTGGGAGCATCGTCTGCCTGACTCGGCACCCCATCAATCACAATCAGTTCTTCACTTAGCCTACCACTCGGCGGTGTTATCAGTTACTAGGGCTGCTACTCGCTTCACCGTACCAGAATGTCATCCTCAATTGGTTGTTGCAGCATTGAATCAGCACCACCACAACTACCACCACCCTCTTGACCTATCAAGGTAGATTGAGTATGGTCAAGACTTTCAGATAATCCACTAAGATCAATTTTCTCACCATAAAATGGTTTGGATTCCTGAAGGTGACATCCATGCTCGCAAAGGTCCTTCGTTCAGAACTCCCACACTTGTAGCCGCACTGCCTAGAAGAATGTCCAATGAAGATACACTTGATGGCCCATGGATCCAATTTGCCCACGGATGACATGTGATCGCTGACAAAGAAGACACAACCGAACAGCTTGGAAGGAACCACGAAATCATTTTTTCCCCTGAGTAACTCGGAAGGTGATTTCATACCTAGTACTCTCAATGATGTGCGATTGATCAGGTATGTCGCAGTCATCACAGCTTCAGTCAACAAGAATTTCGGCACATTCATAGTAGTAAACATCAGTGATTGAGCAACAACCAAAATATGTCGATTCCTCCTTTCTGCCACTCCATTCTGAGGAGTTTCCGAACATGAGGTTTGATGCAAAAGCCCTTGCTCTGACAAAAAGTCCCAAACACTTTGTTCACATACTCGGTGTCATTATCATTTCTTATCACTTGTACCTGAACAGTGAAGTGATTTTTCACATAGGCATAGAACCTCCTGAAGCATTGGAAAGTTTCGTCCTTGTGACGGATCAAATAGACCCATGTCATAGGCGAGTGACAATCAATAAAGGTCACAAAATACTTTGCAGACTATCCGACACCACATGACTTGTCCACACATCCGAGTGAATACATATGAATGGGGATATACTTCTAAGTCCCTTGCTCTCATAAGACGTCCTTGTGTGTTTAGCAAAGTTTTGCAAACTCACACACATCACATTTCAGCTTGTTCTTGTCTACTTCATTCATTACATCAGGAAATAGCTTGTACATTTCAACAAAGGATACATGCCCCATTCTGTAATGATGTTTCGTCACCAAAGACTCTTTCTTCCACAATTGTCGCAATCACTGAGCTGTCCATCCGATCAAGCCCCTCACGGTACATGTACCACAGTCCCCTATGCCTCCCCTATGCCTTATTCCAATCCCCATCCTCCTTCCAAACGGCATGTCCTGAATCAAACACATCCTCTGTCAAGTGTTATCCTACAGTCCACCTGGTCATTAGAGTACTCAGAGACAGCAGATTGACCGGGAAAGCTAACACATGTAGGACTAAAGATAACTTAATAGCAGGTGTACATTGAACTGTCCTAATACCCTTAATAGGCTGCAATGTCCTGTCAGATGTGCATAAAGTGCTACTTTGTGAGGGAGTGTGAGTGACTTGATCATATGACTCAAATTCCCTGAAGTCACCAGCAACATGTTGAGATGCACCCGAGTCTAGTACCCACTCCGGATCAGTTCTCTGAGCAGCTATTATGGCCTTTTCAGTGCTGCCTCCATTTGTACAGATAAAATGAGCCAAACTGGGAAGACTAGCATCCTCCTGGGTATCCTTTTGTTCGATCTCACCCGTATCCTCTACTTCCTGCATCACTTCGCCGAGGAAAAGCAGCAAAGCACACGTGTGCTGCCACATACTTGTTGCACATGTTGACAACAAACCAACGACATTCGCCGTTGCCTCCTCTGCCTCGTGCAACTCACACCTGCCTGGCACATGTGTGTCCTCTTCAGGTCATGGTCTCCTCCCAGCTTTCATCTCCTACGTGCCTTCCTCCTTCCTCAGCGTCACACAAACATCCACCATCCGGCCACACGGAATCCATGACTCTGGTCTCCTCCGCCAAGTCGTTGAACATATCCACAACCCCACCACCTGCCATCTTCTCCCAGGCGCCACATGCAGCAGCTAGCCCTCCTCCTCGAACAGCCGCACACAGCAGCAACACCTCCAGCAGAAGCAGCAGCAACACAGGCACCACCAGCTCCTACTCTACACTCCAATACAGCAGCAGCAGTTCAGCCCTCAGCAGTGCACACCACCACCAGCAGCAGCTCGTCGCCGCCTCCAGCACCTCTTCTTCCACCTCCTTCTCACCAATCAGCAGAAGCAGCTTCAGCACCAGCAGCTCTCTCAGTGCTGTCTCCTCTTCCCTTTCCAATCAGCAGCAGAAGCACAGCCACACAGCACCAGCAGAGACAAGAGCAGCACAAGCCTCCAGCTCGTGCAGCACCCCTAGCTACCTCCGCATCAGCAGGAACGAGGCGCAGGAGTTTACTCCTTCCTGCGCCTGGACACGCCATCGCGCTCCCGCTCAGTCCTGCCGCCGCCGCTGACTGATCTCCGACAAGAGCACCTGCTGTCCTGCAGCCCCCTCTCGCGCAGCCCGACAGCGCCGCACGCCCGCACACGCGCGCACAGCCATGCCCAGATATAACGCCGCCTCCTCGCCGGACCCTGCCACCAGCCATCCGGCCAACGACTAGACCACCGTTCCCGCCGTCTTCAGTGCCCCGCCTGCGACTGATTCCATGTGGAGCATCTAGGAGACGTAGCAAGGTGGCTGCAACGGCTCTAGCGGTGCTCAGAGGCAGACAGCATCATGCCTCTCCTTGTCTAGGTCAGCTAGTCACTTGACTGAATGGGCCTGAGCCTGGGCCTCATGGGCCAATAGTGATGGGCTTCGCATACAACAGTACTGTACAGAAAAAATATGGAAAATGACAAGCCTAAGGCAATCTAAATAACAGCTGAGAGGAGTGGGCAATAATTGTTTCATAATTTAAGGATATTCTCCTGAAGCTTGCAACCATACCATTTTCAGAGGCCAATCAAATGTAAAAATGAACAACTTCAAAAGAATAAAATGTGTTGAATTATAGTAAACAATAGTCCGGTTACCCCACCACGGCACACAAAGACAATAACTACACTAAAACACACATGGGCACAACGGGTTCATCCATCTGGCTAGTAACTGATCTTTAGCTGTTAAACTATTGCATAAAAGGTTAACCAAGAGATCAGATTCTCTGGAGCTGCTAATTAAGGGGACAAAATATAAACAAATAAGACTTATCGCAGAAACACAGTTACATGTGATGTAATGTATCAGCTTACCTGACGCAACATTTTTCTGTGGCTAAGACCATACATTTCAGGAGGTTCCCCATAACCAGTTTGATGATTCGCTGGAGGGTCAGTTTCACTTGCCGCATCAAAAGAATTCAATGTATCTTGGTAGCCGTAATGTAGGAGATATGAACGAACAATCCTGCCATAAGTGCATGGTACATAAGCATAAGACGCGTCAGCCTAGAAATGATTTTAAATATTAAGAAAGGAATGATCTATGCAACACAATGTTTAAACCAGCTTAGTGGAAACAAAGCTCGACATAAGGTTGGATGGGAAGATGGCAAGCTACGAAGTAGATTGTACCAAATGGTAAACCTCAAGAACAACAAAACAGCACCCAAAATAAGTAAACAGTGCATATCATTTAGTGCATGTGAAATGGCTAAATCATATCCATGTTGACCTTAATTCTGGATCCACATCTAAGATCGTGTGATGCAACACTAAACATAATGGGCTGTCATTTAGTATATGGAGGCATACCAATGACTGATATCAGGTTGCAAGTACAGTTTGTCGCTAATAGATTGTTGCGTCATTTTCTGCTCAAGAATATAACCCTGCCAAACAGGAGTGAATTGCATCAAACACAAAAAAATCTATAGTGTATACACCAAGTGAATATTTGTGTAGTGTTTATCTATCACAAGCACATTCCTCAACAAAAAAATCTATCACAAGCACATCATTAGTTTGCAACTATATCAACTATGTTAGAAAAAAAATCAACCAATTTTTTATTAACAGTGTATGTGATTATTATTATTCCTTTCAGAGTACATAAAAATCGTTGCACCTAAAGATGCAGCAAATCCAGCAAACTGGGATGGATAATCATAATACAGTGAAACATGTTCCATGGATGCAAATACTGTTGGTGTACAGTTAGGCCATGGAAAGAGGAATTGCAGATGAGATAAGAAAAATTAGGACAATTTTAAGTAGCAGCAATATCTTGCCTCACCTCAATATCAAAACAGAACTGTTCTTTTCCGAAGTTTACTGTCAACCTGGTTTGCAAAAAAAAAAATCAAATAATCAGATCTGACAAAAAAAGCAATCACGGCAGGTATATGCAGCAATGAAACACAAGGAATAGCTTCTGTTAGGTGGTTGATAAATAGATGAAGACGGGATCGATAGAATAACCAATGGTAAATGAATATATATTACCCCTCCCCACTCTTTAATGGTGTGTCTGTTTAAACCTTGAACTACAAAACAGGTATTAAGCCTCCTGATCTTTTAGAACTGGAGCAAACAACAGCCTTATGTGTTTTGTGGAGGCAGTTTTTCCAGCTTAGGTTGTAGCGTGCCAAGGAGGTCAGCTTTGATATAGCGCTCTCTGTGTGTCCTTTCTCACTGGAAACTTTGAGGACCTGCCACTACAGCGCCTGATGACAGACAGCACCACAGGCTGCTCCTGCTGTGGCCATGGTGCTGGATGTCCTCCACTGACACCCTACCCCTCTGCACTGTTGCAGGGGACGGGTTGGCAACCTCGCCCTCCAGATAAGGAGAGGGTCGAGATAACTTTTACCTGGTGAAGATTTTTCTTTTGTACGTCATGTTATCCGTCACATTGGCAAAACCACCTCAGGGACTATTTGCAGTTTTACAATATCAAGGGGCATAATACCTGGTTTTGCAGTCTATCAAAGCTCGTATGGTATTATAGACTTTTTTCTTGGTACTAACTACTAAGTCCCCAATTCAGTAGCACTTATTAGCTCCTAAACTAATCATAAATTTTCCCTGTGAGAAAATACTTACTAATGTTATATTCAGAATGTCAAAATCTAAAATTCAATCAATTAATTTTTGCATAGAAGTTATATATAAGCATTAAACAAAGAGTCATTACCAAGTGTTACTAATAAAGTATATGATTTGGAAGCACAAAGGAAAATCACCTTCAATTTGAAGCTATTATGAATGAAAGAAACAAAATAAACGAGTGAATTGTGCTTTACGTGGGTCTGTCAAGTAAAGATACAGAAAAAAAAAACTGTGTTCAGCAAATATTTTAACTAACTTTGAATACCAACTCAGATGCTTTCATTGCTAAATAAGCATAGGGGTTATTTCATTTAATTTCTTGGTCAGAGCTCTTGTGATTGGTCCACTTGGCCTGTAATTACTGATTACTACAATCCTTCCTATAAAATGTGGCTTAACTAACGAAGAAACACAAAAGCTGATGATTCTATAGAAGGAGCCTAGTTAACAATTGCTGAGACCAAAGTGCACTAAGGGCATCTCCAACAGCCGCGCCAAACTAGCGCCGCGCCGCAAAATTGCCCGTTTTAGCGCGCGTGCAACCGGTATAGTTGCTCCAGCGGGCGCGCAAAAACAGCGCACGCGGCATATGTAGTTCAGTGCGCGGGCCGAAACTCAATCGCTCGCCGCTTATTTGCTGCGCCCGCTCCCGCGCGCTGGACTCTCGCGCGCTCGCTCGCAACTCCCACCCCCCATCCAGCCGCGCCGCCGCCGCCGCCCGCGCCACCCGGCGACCGTTCCGGCGTTTCATCGGCCTATCCCCGCGCCGCGGTGGCTTCTCCGCCCCCCCTATAGTCCCGCCGCCCCTCGCGCGCGTCCGTCCTCCAACGAACAGCGCCCGAGCGCTCGCTGCCGCTCGGCGCCCGCAAGGTGTTCGACAAAACGCCTAGAAGGTATGTATTGCTCAAACTTCATGAATTTGGTGCATTTTGATTGTAGTTTTTATAGCATAGTATTGAACATTGTAGATGAGTTCGTCGTATGATTCTTCCGAAGAAGAATTTGATATGGAAGAGGAGGAGGATCTTGCAATGATCCTAGCTATGCATATCAATAAAAAACCGAAGCACGGTGGTTCGGTTATGGGTCGGCAGAAAATTTGGAGAGATAGGATCGATGCCCATAACAGATTGATGAGGCACTATTTCATGAAGAATCCCACATACCCGGAGTCGTATTTTCGTCGCCGGTTTAGGATGAGCACCGACTTGTTTAGGCGCATTGCAGAGAAACTAGCGAGCCATGACCGGTTTTTTCAGCAAAGGAGGAATGCCACCGGAGAGCTCAGGCATAGCACCTTTCAGAAGGTGACAGCCGCTTTGCGTATGTTGGCATGCGGTATCCCGGCTGATCTAGTTGATGATCACTTGGCTATGGGTGAGAGCCAAGCCATCATGTGTGTCAAGCGCTTCGCAGTCGGAATTGTGCAAGTGTTTGGCGAGGAGTATTTGAGATCTCCCAATGCTGAAGACGCCGCAAGGCTATTGGCGATGAACAAAGCTCGCGGCTTTCCTGGCATGCTTGGCTCAATAGATTGCATGCATTGGAGTTGGAAGAATTGTCCAAAGGCATGGCATGGGCAATTCCACGGCCAAAAAAAGGGTTCCACTATAATCCTTGAAGCGATGGCCGATCAAGAGACTTGGATTTGGCATGCATTCTTTGGAATGCCTCGATCTTTGAATGACATCAATGTTGTCAACCGGTCACCACCGATGAATAAGATTGCCACCGGTGAGTTGCCACCGGTGCAGTTTGTAGCAAATGGTCGTACATACAACTATGGCTATTATCTAGCGGATGGCATCTATCCAAAGTGGCAAACCTTCGTGAAGCCGTTGAAAAAGCCGGAAGGTAAGAAAAATCTTGATTTCCACAATGCTCAGGCGGCGGCTAGAAAAGATGTGGAGAGAGCTTTTGGGATTTTGCAAGCCCAATTTGCTATTGTGAGAGGACCGGCTAGATTTTGGGATCAAAAAATGCTTTGGTACATCATGCACGCTTGTGTGATCATGCACAACATGACCATCGAGAATGAGCGTGGCCAAGATTTAGACTACTCACAGTATGAGCTCTTGGGACATCCCGTGCGAGTGCGACGGAGGGCTGAAAGGGTGGCCCGTTTTGTTGCCTCCTATCATGCCATTCGGCGTCCCGCAGCGCACAATGATCTTCAGAAGGATCTCATTGAGGAGTGGTGGGCATGGCATGGACGACAAAGAGCATGATTTCTGCGTTCGACATTGTATTGTTCATGAACTATTTGTTGTGTTTATTGCACTATTTGTTGTACTGAACGATAAACTATTTGTTTGGGTTGTAATAACGAAATTGAACTATTTATTGTTGATTTATTTTGTTTAGTTTGATCATTTTTGCTTCTATTTGAAATGTATATGTTGTTTGTGCGAGTCGCGCGCGCTGCATTTTTTGCGCGCTGCTGGAGCGGCGCGCGCGCGCTGCATTTTAGCGCCGCTGTTGGAGCCAGCGCTGGCGGCCGCGCAAAACCAGGCGAACGGCGCGCGGCAAACTAGTTTTTAGCGTGTGGCGCGAAGCGCGGCTGTTGGAGATGCTCTAAAGCTGTGGAACGGTTTAAAAGATGTCCACTGGTCTTGTCTCTTTATTATAATCATGAGAGATTAAAAATAAATTCCTATAGCAACATTTATTCAGTAAATCAGGACAGGAAGGCTTGATATAAATGTAAGGGAGAATTCGCTTCAATAAGTATGCATGTTTTTGCAACTAAGGTTGAAATATTGGGGGCAAATTTTAGTTTCTATTTAGCATGTACAAAACCAACATAATAATCACTATAGAAAGAGACAGCTTACTCTTCATCCTGGCTATGGACCGCAATAGTAGGATATAGTGGTCCTTTAATATCTTTTGGAAAGGCTCCAATGAGAGATCCATTTTTTCTGCAAGATGCTACAACTAGTTAGATCACAGCACAGCACAATATTTTAAATAAATTAAACAGGTGACGGACTTAATGCAGAGAATAAGAGATAAGCATATGGTGCATACAGCATTCAACATGAGTGCATAAGAGGAAGATATGTCCATTCATAAAGTTATGGTGGCAGTGCAAATCCAAAACTATCATTTTTTTATTAAAGTTAAATGACAAAAGTACCAACAAAATGCATTTATTCATCTTCAGAAGAAAACAAAAAATATTAAGGATGGTAACTGAAAATGTAATGTTATGTAATAATACAAAACCTCGTAGAAGAGTAATGGTCTGCGAATCAAATAAACAAACAGTGTAATCAACAACACTTACGTGAAGAAAAGAAGTTGTTCTATGTAGTTAATTCCAGCGCCAATTATGTCGCCAGATGTGAATTTGGGACCAAAAGACTCACTTTTCCCTGGACCCCGGTAAAGATAGCCATCATCGCCATGGTATCCACAACTTTGAGATTCCCAACTGGAATGAAGAAAGAACAGAAAGAATAATCAGCAGGTAATTGTCGTTGAGTAGCAAGTAGCAACCACTAAAATAAAGTGTTATAGCAGGTCAAATTTCAAGTCAGTTCAAATGAACAGGAGACAGGTCGCATAAAATATATGAAGCATTACATAGAAATAGAGATCATAGCAAGCAACGCTACAACTAACAGACTGCCTGAAAAAGACATGCCCACCAGGGCAAACAACAATGGGAAAGTTCATTAGATTCACAAAACCTCTTTTTAGCATGAACGGTATAGGAATTACAACAAATAGCCACATACAACTACTAAAAACTACATACTCCCTCCGTCCGAAAATACTTGTCATCAAAATGGACAAAAAGGGATGTATCTAGAACTAAAATACATCTAGATACATCCCCTTTTATTCATTTTGATGACAAGTATTTCTGGACGGAGGGAGTATTATTTGGCCTTCCTCGCCCAGATTGTGCAATTTCAGCTATCACACGTCATCTCAGACTCAGACAGGTTATGCAGCTAGCACGAATACCACAAAGTAGTACATTTTCACAAAATGAGACAAGTTTGGAATTGCTAATTGCTAGCAGAGCACTAAACCCAGGCTAGAGAGACCAAAATAGCAGCAAGAGCCAAGAAAAGGTGGCTCACCCAGGTTGGCGGCGCATCTTGAAGCTCTCGGTGGTGAAGCCGATGGAGGTCTGGCCCTTGAGCCCAGCATTCCTCACGGTCATCTCAAAGTAGTAGACGGCTCGGTGCATGGGAGCGGGGCAGTCGGCCTGCACGACTCCGACGTCATGGCCGTGGTGGTTGACGCCGAGGTACTTGACGGACATCTTGTCGACGGAGACGACTGCAAAGAGGCCCGAGCTGTTGGCGGTGTTCAGCTCGGATGGCATGGGCTCCGAGTCCAGTGCCGCTGCGGTGGCAACCCACTCCGCCGGGGACCGCCACCGCGACGCCAGGCGCATCGGGTCCACCGTCGTCGTTGTCGTCGCCTCCGCCTCCTGGTGCGCCACCATTCGCCAATCCAACTTCTGGCGAATAAATCATCAGAACAAAACAGTCTAGACAAGTAGTGGAGAAAGAAAGATTTCTAGACTGCTCCAACACAAAATAAGGATCTCTAGCACGCAAAAGAAGAATTGCGGGAAAATCTGGGGGAGCAAGAATTGGAGGAGCTTACCCAGAGGCGGATCGAACCGCGCTAGGATAGCAGGCGGCGGGGAAAGTGATGAACCGGCAGGTCGCGTTTGCGGCGCGGGGCTGGGGAACGGGGCGAGAAGCGTGCCAGGATGGGGGGTCGCGTCCCGTGAGGGTAACGTATAGAGAGCTTTTCTTTTTTAGCAACACTCACAGACTACACATCTCTTACTGATAGTCTCGTCTCACCTTCCATTAACCCATTGACAAACCTTATATTACGCCCGCAAGCGTGTTTAGACGACTTTTCGTTCATCCTCAGCCAACTTTGGCCGGTCCATTTTAATACATGCATTAATTCAATCAAATCTATACTTTCTCAAAACAGTATCATACATTAACTCGTTCAAATCAAATCACTACTTACCAAAATCGTTCAAGTCAAATCACTATTTACCAAAACATATTTATATCTCTACCCCTAAAGCGCAGTTCATACATTGTTCATTCGTCCCAGGTTCTGTTGATCGAAAAAAATCGCCACCCCACATCCCGTCGTTAAAAAGGAGAAAAAAGGATGTGATAATTCCCCATCCAGTAATCTCAGGAACAAAAAGATCGCCCCCGTTGTTCCCTCCTGCGCCCACCGCCATGCATGGCTGGATGACGAGGGACGGAAGCTAGGTTTAGGGCGTCGCCACCAAGTCCCTTCTCCGCAATCCAACTTCCGTCCACTTCCATTAGCCCCATCGCCAAGCCACGTCCTGTAGGCAGCATCTATCCACCGCCTACCTGGGCATGGCCAGGGCCGCCCGGTCATCGACCGCAGCGCAACTCCATGGTTTGCCTCGTCTCACTATCAACGACGCCACGCCACTGCCCCATTATGTTGTCGGCCCACTCGACGCCTGTGTCTAACTGGCCAGTTCGTCGATCAACGCATCAATAACGACTGACAGGTCGTGGTCATAGAGCTCGAGAAGCACATCATGGATCCGGCAACCTTGACTTGGAGGACGAGCTGGAGGTTTGTATTGCGGCAGTGGAGCTTGTGCGACTCCATGGTATGGTCCTCTTATGTCGCGAGGGTTGTTTTCCAAGGGTAAGCAACAAGGACGACAACTCGACAAGCACCATATCTACCCACAAGTACTCCAATGGATGATGATGTAAGGACATGTATAGAATTGCAAATACTAAAGAGCATAGACCAGGTTCAGAAGTTTCATGCAGTTGAACAAAGTGATGCTAAGGGCATAATTCCGTTGATAATGAATCTTTAATATCTGGTGGTGAATTTTGTCATGAAGGAAAATCATCTGCAAGACAAGGTAAAAAATGTGGAGAAACTTCACTTCGTCCCATGATAATAATGATCTTGATTGCATGGTATGTCCATGTCCAGCAAAACTATTTCTCATTAATAATTATGTTCAAAAGTTTGGCTGCGATTTTTTTATGAATATGGAGCTTGGAAGGTTCATTGTGGTCTTTCTGCAGTCGTTATATATGCAACATCTGTACACATGAGTCTACATGCTATCCTTCTCAACAGATTGAAGGATTTTGCATCGTATTATTGTAGCACATATTGATCTCAAAAGGATAGAGATGTACATGAATTGCACCCAAAGGTGTGGCTGATTATACTAAATGTTGTTTCCTTGCTTCCTTCACATATAGGTGTTTTTGTTTTTCATCTCATCTAATTAGGAGCACACCATGATGAAATAATGCAGAACTGGGACTTGCTACGAGTTGTTCTTACTATCTTTTCCGATGATATTGTTGATTGGCGGATTTTTTTTTTCTGGGAGGGTGATGGTCATCAATATGCAGCTTGTTGATAATGGTAGCTGGTATTTTAATTATGTGCCATTTTGTAGTTCCATGAAGCAACAAAAAGAGGATCGACTGTTTTTGACGTGATTAAAGGAAATAGATGACCCAAATAAATGCTCGATTGCGCAATTAACTAAATATGTAGGCTATAACTTACTGTTTTTCATGGAACCATGGCTCATCGATTCACACGATCCCCCTCCCCCTCTATTGATAAAGGTTTGTAGTTTTCGCCCTATAACTAGATTGCACTGAGAATTATGTTATTGTGTGTAAATTGGAGGCTGGAGAAATTGGTTGGGTGAGGCAGACAAAAAAGCAGAGTGAACTTATGGTGCGGCACTCAGCGGAATGAAGGGAGAGACAATATGTAATTTAACAACCTCCTGTGGTGTGTGTGGGTGGGAGGGCGCGAGGCCAAGGTGATTATCGTCTATCGCCATACTGCTTCAGTCACAACCTCTTGGACCTGAGCAGCAGCTTTATTAGCCATGCATGCGCCTTGCCCGCTGTGAAAAGGTATTCCTTGTGGGTGCACCAGGATAGTCAATGATGAGGACATCAATACAATTGTTACACCCACAGCCCCTGCTGCTATACATACTGGACCAATTACTAGAGCTCGTGCACGCCAACTAAATTACCAGGTACTTTCGTTTCTTGGTAATGATTCTAATGTTCATGAGAATATGATGCTGCCTAAATTGGATACATTTGTTTTGCTTACAAATGAAGGGCCTAGCTTGGAGAAGGATGAACATTGGAGCAAGAACAAGCATGGAGATGATGGCATGCACAAGGGGAACAAGAATGGAGTTACAAGTGATGATTTCAGGACTTTGAAGCCACCATAATGGGTGCATGAAGCCTTGGACGAAATATACAAGATGCCACTTCATAAATTTCGTCCCGAGGCTATTTTAGGTGTTGCGTCACCTTATTATTGGGCCAGGCCCATGTAATTTCGAAATACATAAGTATAGGCTATTTTTAGAGTCCGTATGTGTGGGGAAACAAGAGATAGGGTTGATTTCGGACCCCTCCACCAAGGGCCACGAAATTCCCCCCTCTTCCTCCATATATACAGCCCTTAGGGCATCGTTTAGACTTTGGGTTTTGTTTAGATTAAAAGTTCGCCATAGCTGCAACTTCGCGTACTTCGTTTGTGTTCAACGACCAGACAAAGGCGTCACAGAACCCCACCTTGATCAATAAAGCTTTCATCTTATATTCGCAATATCCAGATTGCAATCTTAGTTTCTTGCTTGTTCTTCGTTTGCTCGCAGGAAACAGACCCTCGTGGTCAGGTTGATCGTGCTCCGGCGTGGTCAATAACCTCTCGGAGTTGGTTTAGCGATTGCTAAGGCGCGACGTCCTCGCCCGTTCGTAGTCGGATCGTCAAAGTCGACTTCCACCAAAGCGATATCCATCATCTCATCGAAAGACGGGACACCTTTGCCTCTATCAAGTGGTATCAGATTTCCAGGTTGCTCGGTGAGATTTTACAGTTTTTCGTAGTTTAGATCGAGTCTGTTCTTCATACCTAGAGTCCACGAAAAAGCCACAAAAAAAATTAGGGTTAGTTCATCATATCCGAACCAATCTGAGCCTTTGCATAATCTTTTTAGGGTTTTGCTTTGTTGAATTTGCGGTTGCATCGTCGTGTCTAGTTGCTGGTCTTAGAGTCTAGTCTTTTAGAGTTTCGAGTTCTGGTCATAAGTTGTCACGCCGCCGCCGCACCATCATCATCGCCCCTGCCATCTACCACCATCGCTTATCCGCCACCGCTCCGAATCCGTATCCATATACCACCACCAATCCGTGTCCATATACCACCACCGATCCATATCCATATACTACCACCGCTACCACCACCGCTGCCATATACCACCACCATATATCCACCACCAATCCGAGTTCCTTGCATATTAGGTTTGTTTTCGAGATCCATCTAGATTCCGATTCGTGTTTCCTTGCCGGAGTAGGTTTCAAAAAAAAAAGAGTCGGGTAGCCACGCTCCGTTTAGGCCCAAAATTTTTCGAAAACGCATTTTTCGAAAAAAAATTCTGGCTATCCTATTTTTAGGTGTTTCTGAGTGTTTTGAGACAGGTGCCATTATAGGAAGTTTTTTTTGACCCGTTTCCAGTTTTTGGGTCCGGGCAGTCGAAAAAAAAAAATTGGTCGAAAAAATTTCGTGCCCATCCTGTCCGTTTGAGCTAGGACGAGTTTTGAGACACTCGCCATTATAGTGATTTTTCGCAAAAAAAAACAGCGCAAAAAAAAGGGAGCGCAAAAAAAAAGAGCGAAAAAAAAAATTTCAGAGTGTGCTTTTCCCTTGTTTACGTGCCGCGCCGTGATTTTGTTGGTGTTCTAGGCTCGCGTCTCTAGCACAGTCTAGCCTAGGACCAGCACAGTACCGTCGTTGAGCGTTTATTCAACTTTGCATCTTTGAATTGATTATTGCTGACCCTTTTTGCTACCATACTATAAGCCTTCCCAGCTCCACATACATCTACGTCGTGTGTTTGACTCTCCTTGGTAATCGCTCTATCCAAGCTTTGAGAGTTTTTGACTACAACGGTTGCCGATCACCGCCTGCTGCTGGGTAAGAACTGGTAAGAATTTGAGATTTGCTTGACGGATTTGTGATACACCACCATCACTTCTTAGTAGTCTGTAGGATCATATTCTTGTGTGTTTCTATTGCTGCTAACCATGCCAGGATCACAAGCCGACGAGATTGACTGGGAGAACTTATCGAACAAGGAGCTTCATGATAAGTTTCAGCAAATGATGACTGAACAGGTACAAGATGTGCTGAACAATTTTGAAGAGGCCATGGAGAAGATCACTGGCCTTGAGAAGACGTTCGAAACAAAGCTCGATAACAGATTTAATGAACTGCTTGCGCGTCTTCCACCACCGGCTGCACCTGTCGCACCTCTGCAACAACAACAACTACGCCCCCTTCCGAATCAGTATGGACGAGCACAGCGTGTTCCTATTGAGCCAGGACAAAATTCTAGTGCCGCTACTA